CAACACCCCTAAAGGCAGACGCCCCGACGGCGGGACCACTGGGCCCACCTGTGCACATCACTGGTCTTTCCCCCTGGAGGGGCCCCTCCTCCCATAGGTGGTTGCCCCCTGCCTTCTCTGGTGCATCCTCCTGTCTGCTGCTGGAGCCTCAGATTGACCAAGCTGAGGAAAGCAAGTCTCCAGGAGACCCTGGAGTCAGCTGCCTTGGAACCGCCCTGGCCGGCAGGTCCCGGCCCAGCCCAGGGTGAACTGGGGCCCAGAGGCCCTGGGGACACAAGAGGCCAGCCAGGTGAGGCCCAGGTCGGTGGGGCATCTCTGCTGCTCGGAGATCTGAAGTTTTGACGACTGACTCAAACAGGTCTCACCTGTGTATCGCGGAGACTTCCTTACAAATACAGACCTATCCTTAGAGACTCAGCTCCCAACTCGCTAGTGAGGATAAGGGCGTGGTGATGCTCTGTACAATTCTGAGGCTGCATTTGGATTCATGCGCCTCGTGGTCGCCAGGACATCATCACCAACTCTGAGGACCACAGCACACAGGGCCCGAGTCTCCATGGGGTGTGAAAAGTGAGGTGGCAGACAGGGGGACTGGTGGTGGGAGGGCGGGGGAGGGCCAACTCCCACCGCGGCCCCTGGGCATTTATCTGGCTGGCAGCCATTAGAAAGCCAAGGCTACGGTTTTCCAGTAATCATGTGTGGATGTGAGAGCTGGACTATAAAGAAAGCTGAGCGTCGAAGAATTGATGCTTTTGAACTGTGGTGTTAGAGAAGACTCTTGAGAGTCCCTTGGACTGCAAGGAGATCCAACCAGTCCATCCTGGAGGAGATCAGTCCTGGGTGTTCCTTGGAAGGACTGATGCTGAAGCTGAAACTCCAATACTTTGGCCACGTGATGCAAAGAACTGACTCATCTGAAAAGACCCTGATGCTGGGAAAGATTGAGGGCAGGAGAAGAAGGGGACGACAGAGGATGAGATGGTTGGATGGCATCACCGACTCAACAGACATGAGTTTGAGTAAACTCTGGGAGTTGGTGATGGACAGGGAGGCCTGGCGTGCTACAGTCCATGGGGTCGCAAAGACTGAACTGAACAGTGGAAAGAAGTGACCTTGTGAACTGAGACAACTTTAAAGACCCAAATGATAAAAAGCCTTTCTCTTAACTGCCCCCCATGATGAGAGGGGAGTTCTGCTTCTCATTCCACCCCTGTGAGTACGACAGAGACCTCCTGTCCCCACACACGCTGCCCTGGGTGCATGTCTTACCTGGCATCCCTCTGATCGCTACAGTGGGGGTGGGACCGGGCACCACGAAGGGGTGTGAGGCACCCTTGCCTGCGTCTTGGAAAGAAGGTGTTTGCTTTCCACACTTACAAAAAGGTGCACAAGGTACTGAGCACAGACACTGCTGGAGAACTCCCTGAGAAGTGCCAACTGCAAGTCCAGAGGAGAGAGGGGTTTCCTGGCTAGTGCCCACAGAGGTGCGGGGTGACGTGGCAGACAGCTGGGGATGGGCTGGCCCCGCCTCCCGGCGTCCAGCAGGCACTCGGGTCCCTCCCTGCTCTATGCACGGCTGCTCCTCTGGGGTCAGGTCAGCCTGCAGGTGAGCCCCAAGAATCCTCCTGCTAACGGTGAGGTCCTGGGGGATGCGGCGGAAGAGGAGGGGTGCGGGGGCTGAAGTAATTGTGTACTATAGTGTCTCTCGCTGGGGGCCAGCAGGGCTGCCCTGTGATGGCGAGAGAATACACCTCTCCCGGGCTGCTTCAGAAAGAAGGTGTGGGGACGGAGGGGAGGCATGGGATCGGGGAAAAGAAATACCAGGCTAAAAATAGTTTTCTTAGAACTGCTTTCCGGGCTGTCCGAGCCACACCAATAGACATTCTTATACTCATGCCACCAGGCTTGCAATAAAAATGAGGGAAGGGCGAGCAGCCAGTGGAGTTCCAAGGCCGTCTCCTTGGCACTGCGTACAGACTATTTCAAGAGGACATGTCTTCTGATGCGCTCTCCCAAGATTAGCTGAAGCGGGCTTCTCACTGCCAGCCCATGTTTAAGTTCTGGTAACCGCGCTTACTCAGCTCTGTCTCTAGAAATGAGACCAGAGATGTCAGCCACCCGCTGCCACTGCCCGCAGCATCGCCTCGGCATACAGCCCAGAGATCAGTCCTGTGGATGACGGAGCCCTGCCTGCCAGCATCCACGCCACTGGACGAAGTATTTGTATTTTTTGTTTCTGATTAAAAATTTACTCCTCAAGTTGCGGGAAGACCAGGCACCATTTCAGAATGACACGCTGAAGCCTCATTCTCTTCTCTCTAGAATCACAGCTTCATCATCTAGACTGACCGCCAAACCCGAGCGGACTCACTGTGCTGAGGCCATCCTCTGTCTTACAGGAACAAGATGGGTTGACTATGGAAGTTACTGGTTGATACTCGACCACCTAGCGATTGTTTTAGAACGCGGAGGTTTTCGGAGCATGTCACACAGACGGGCTCATCTTGTGTTTGCAGCAACCACTGAAAGACGGCGTCCGAGCTCCCAAGTGGGCAGAGAAGGAGGCTGCGGCCCGGCGGCCCGAGGCCAGGCATTAGAGCGCAGCGGCGTGGGGACCAGGGCGCCCAACGCCCAGCTCTTTGCACCAGACCACACGGCCTCACCTTCCAATGCCATAAACCACCTCCGGCCACGGGATAAAAGCCCCTCTAGGGAGGGAGGGAGGGTGGGCAGGCACCCACCAGCCACGAGGCAGCAAGCCTCCTTCCACCCCTGAGAACACTGAGGGCGGGTGGAGGGAGGCCCAGGGCCCTGGGCCCCCGCGGAGCCTGCATCAATCAGGGGGCCGGCAGCTGAAGGCTGGAATGCGCCCGAGCCAGCGGCCAGGGGCAAGCAGGGAGCCCTGCAGGTGGAGGCGGCTGGGCGGCCCGGGGAGGAAGACGGGAGGAGGAGGGGAGGGGAGGACTGGGAGGGGGAGGGGAGGACTGGGAGGAGGATGGAAGGAGGAGGGGAGGGGAGGACTGAGAGGAGGACGGGAGTGTCCCCGTGCCAGTTCTGAAACTGTGCAGTGAGCCCCTCTGCTGATGATGCTCTTGCCTGGAAGTGGGGGGTGGGCGGTTTGGAGCGGCCCCCCGACTAGACCAACTATAGGTTCTGGAACCAACAGTGGCTCGTCCACAGCCTACTCAGACCCCAGGAAGCAGCCTGGTGTGCAGGGCTCCGCCCAGCACAGCGGGGTGACAGGTTGCTCAGTGGGCCTGCCTCCCCCAGAACTGGTGCTGGTATCAAAGAGAGGACGGGCTGGGAAAGCCCTGGGCTGAGGCAGCGAGGGGTGGAGACGCAAATGTGTGTTTAACTGAGGGATGCGCTGAGATGCAGAGGGTCTCTGGCCTCAGGCCTGCTTTGGTCTGAGCAGCCTTCAGCCCTGACTCAGGCGTGCCCTAAATGAGCTCCTTTGTCCTGAGGAGGGAGTCACCATGAGGGGCTCTGTCCTGACGACAAAGCAGCCTGACAGCCCAGAGCTGTTTTCACAGAAGCTGAAGGCTTCCACCAAAGGGCGCTGACTTGCAGTCATCGGGACTGGGGAGGCGTGTCACTCACAAGATGCCAAAGGGAGCCCCTGGCTCAGCCCTCAACCTCGTGCAAAGAGCTGGTTCCGAAAATCCAACTCATTCAAATACGAGGGACTAAAAGCAATCACATGCACATTGCTGATGCACTAACTAAAATACAGGGAAGGAAAAAATAGGGAAACGGCAGAAAAACTTACTGACGGGAATCAGAGAAAAATGCTGCCGTTGGGTCACATGAAATTTCTGGCCAAGTATTTTGCAGTGAATTTTAAAAACCAAATGAAGTAATTTATCTAAGAAGGAAAAATCACAAAGGAAAAATGACTCTGGGGAGAGACAGGAAGAAAACAGGGAGAACTGAAATATGAGCTTGAAGAACTCAGAAAAGGAGGGTGTGGGGCAGAATAACTGAATCAGGATGTGGGCAAGAAGAGACCACACAAGACGGGGGTGGGGGAGAAGGTTAACGGTGGGGGGAGCACCCAAGACCAAGTGGAGAGAGAGATTTTTTCAAACATCAGAGGGAGAAACAGTAGCCTGAGGCAGCGACACAGGAGGGCTGGAGGGCACGCGTGGATCCCCGAGTGAGGGGTCAGGAGAGATCCTTGTTGATATGATTCAAGAAAACTTTCCTGAGACCCAGGAGGCAGCACACCTTGATCAGAGAGAGACAAGGGTTCACAGAGCAGCAAGGGCAGCTCACACCTGAGAGGGATCCTGACACGGTTATGAAGCTTTAAGACAAAGAATTCTTTAGGAAGAAAAGGAAAAAAGGTCAAGCCTGGCCTCGGATTTCCTTATATCGACTTCAACTTGAGAAGACAACTGAGCAACATTTATGAGACCCTGCTTCCCGCAAAAATGGGTGAAGCCAAGGCCCTTCTGTCCAACCAGGCCGCCAGTGAAGTACCGCATAAGCGGAGACACAGCGCCGAGCATGCAGGGGCTCCGGGGGCACTGCCTCCCCCAGTCCTTGAGCAGACTTCTAGACGCACACTGAGCTCCCAGGCGTGGCACGGGTCTTGGCGTGTGGTACGTGCTTGAGAAACCTTCAGAGAGACGAACAAAACAGCTTTCCCGCCACAAACTGCTCTTTCAGCTTCATTTCCTCGGTGCCCGGAATGTGAGAGGATAAGAAATGGCTTCCCAAAACAACACCAGAAAACTCCAAGATCTTAAAAACCTTCTGTTTCATATCCTTTGTTTACTAAGGCAGGGAAGAGGAAAAACGCATCTTAGAAAGATTTCCAGAAAGTACTGATGCAAAAGAGTTTTCTGACATGCTGAAGGTTCACTGTAAATTCAGATCACATTTGTCTCTTACACACTACATTGCAGCAAAACTCCATTACATACTCCCACATGCCATTTGCCAGAGAGAAACAAAAATGGATAAGCCAGAGAGGGTTTTTATTTTTTTTTACTTACTTTGGATGTTCAAACTTGTCTATAAGATCAACTTTTTCCACCAGGTCTCCTCCAATTGTTCGGACTAAGTCATAGAAATCATTCTCCGTGTAATTCTCACGAGGTAGCCAGAAGGAGATGTCGTTGATCACAGCAGGGTATTTGCTGAGAGGCTAATTAAATGAGAGAACAAAAGACAGACTGATTTGTAAGTTGGATGTCAATGTTTGAGTGTTTTCAGGGCAGGTTTCACTTGGGCTAGTTAGAAAATGCTGGCAAGACATTGCTTCAGCACTTGAATGTTCAGGAACAAAACAAACTTAAAAGATAAGTCAATATCCGAAATTAGCAAATTCCATTAGGAATACTGCAGATCCTTATCACATTCATGTGTAACATTACCCTATATTTTATTTATATTGCCATTAATGTTCAATTTAGTATAAAGCAATTTGAATACATCATACATCAGGTTTTTTTCCATTTGAAAACTAGAGGAGAAAAGTTCACATTTAATTAACAAGCAATTCATTAACTTCCTGTGATAATTTGAGGAAGCCATTTTAATAGAGAGATAAGTAAGGGCCTGTCAGAATTGATATTTCAATTAGTAATGTCATTATTTGTTAGTATTTCTAATTATTAAGGGAATATTTCTAATTGTTAATTATATAGGGAGTTATTTTTCAAATTATGCTTCTAAGGATGTGATAGACACAAATGTAGTCATTCCTCCATTTTACCCCACTCTTTTCCCAGTTTATCAGGGGTCACTAACTAGTTCATAATATTGGATACATATTTAAAATTAGGTATTTTTAGAAATTACCAAATTTGTTTACAAAGCTTAAACACGTACATCACAAATATATATCTATATATTACTCATATATATACACACATATGCATAGATAGTCATGATGGAGGTCTGTAAGTTACTGCCACAGTAAAAAATGTCCCCTTAAATGCTTCATTATATATCTATGAAATCTATACAACTAAGGAAATATCTACTAAAGCTATAAATTTGTTAGAAGTTTATAAATTGATTTACACTAAGCCTGATATCACTATAAACCCCCTGATGAACCACTGATTAGAAAAAGTATAAAACTTTTTAAACAGAAAAACCTCTGAAGAACCAAGTACTCAAAAATAAATGATCTCAACTTGTAATATCAATAAAGCTGTCAAAAAAAAGCATTGGTTCAGAACACACATTTCAAACGAACATAATAAAGCTACCATCCAGGTGCTCCTGACAAAGTACCACTGCTCCTGAAAAAATCTTGTTTTTTCAGAGCTGAGATGCTGTGATTTTAAACAATCTGCAGGTTAAGATAACAATGCGAGATGAAGGGAGGTGGCTGGTTACACAGTGCTTTTCCTTTGGATGGTACCCTTTTGCCACTTTTAAGGAACATGGAAATTTAGGGGAATTAGTTAAGAGGCAGGGGATGCCAGGAATAAGCATGAGATCTCTTCCACGACAGACATGGGAAGAGGTACTGATTTCAGGAGTCCAAGAACAACAGTCAACGTGACAACAGCCAGAATATAAGACACTACAAAATATAGGGTTTATATTACCGTAAATACAGGTGTTAAACCACGGAGGAAAACCCAGACCGTTGTATTGCAAACCTAGTTCACGCTAACAAGCGGTAGCAAGTTTAAAGCAGCGATGGCAGGTGCCTTGTGAGCTTGGCAAGTGTAGAACCCGAGGCTTTCACAGCTCCTGACGGCTGACCCTCTCTCTCTTGCCGGTGAAGATCTTTTCATTTCTCTCCAGTGAAAGCGTGCGGGAGGTAGACTTCAGAACTGACCTGGCTGAGACATGCCCACGTAAACCATCTGATGAGGCTGAGACTGCAGGGTCACTGTGTCTCTGCCCAGCTGTGCCCGTTAGCAATGATGACAAGTCTGCCGTCAGACAGAGCTGCTTCTGCACCGGGAATCTCTTTTCTTTCTGGCTGCGTGGTGGCTTTAGGCTGGGCCTGTGCTCATGTTGGTTTATTCTGCTCAGGACTCAGCGTGCACCTTCACCCAGATGGTTCACATCTCCATCCATGTTGGAAAGTTCCAGCCACGACTCCTGTTTTTCTCTTCCAGAACCCCAATGCTCCGTGTTGCAGGGCTTCTCAATCTACCTTACATTTCTCTTACCTGACTGATTGCAGGTAATCAGTTTTAATCTTTTTTTATCTTTACATATTTGTGCTCTGTGCTAGGTGTAATTCTTCAGTCACAGACTCTGAGTGACTCATTCTCCTTTCAACTGACTTGTGGTCTCATCTGTTTCTCCCTCTTTTTTCATCTCTATTTCAGTGAATCTATTATTCATTTCTGATATTTCTAATTTCTTTTCCCCATAAGTATTTACACTTCGTTTTTTGCCTTTTATTAAGAATTTCCTCTTCTTCATTATGGTCTTGAAGAACTAAAGAGCCTCTTAATGAAAGTGAAAGAGAGTGAAAAAGTTGGCTTAAAGCTCAACATTCAGAAAACTTAAGATCATGGCATCTGGTCCCATCACTTCATGGCAAATAGATGGGGAAACAGTGCAAACAGTGGCTGACTTTATTTTTCTGGGCTCCAAAATCACTGCAGATGGTGACTGCAGCCATGAAATTAAAAGACACTTACTCCTTGGAAGGAAAGTTATGACCAACCTAGACAGAATATTAAAAATCAGAGACATTACTTTGCCAACAAAGGTCCATCTAGTCAAGGCTATGTTTTTTTCCAGTGGTCATGTATGGATGTGAGAGTTGGACCATAAAGAAAGCTGAGCACCAAAGAATTGATCCTTTTGAACTGTGGTGTTGGAGAAGACTCTTGAGAGTCCCTTGGACTGCAAGGAGATCCAACCAGTCCATCCTAAAGGAGATCAGTCCTGGGTGTTCATTGGAAGGACTGATGTTGAAACTGAAACTCCAAATACTTTGGCCACCTGATGCGAAGAGTTGACTCATTTGAAAAGACCCTGATGTTCGGAAAGATTGAAAAGTGGGAGAAGGCGAGGGTGGGATGATCTGAGAGAACAGCATCGAAACATGTATATTACCAAGTGTGAAACAGATCACCAGTCCAGGTTGGATGCATGAGACAAGTGCTTGGAGCTGGTGCACTGGGATGACCCAGAGGGATGGGATGGGGAGGGAGGTGGAAGAGGGGTTCAGGATGGGGAATACATGTAAATCCATGGCTGATTCATGTCAATGTATGGCAAAAACCACTACAATATTGTAATTAGCCTCCAACTAATAAAAATTAAAAAATTTTAAAAAAAAGAAAGTGGGAGGAGAAGGGGACGACAGAGGATGAGATGATTGGATGGCATCACCAACTCAATGCACATGAGTTTGGGTGGACTCCGGGAGTTGGTGATGGACAGGGAGGCCTGGCATGCTGCAGTTCATGGGGTCGCAAAGAATTGGACATGACTGAGCGAGTGAACTGAACTGATCCCTTAGAGGACCCTGGGCGTGGGGTAGGGACCCCGGGGGGCTGGTGCTTCCACAGTCTCTGGAAGAACAGCTGTCGAACCTCGAGGCGGCTTCACTGAGCTTTGCAGCCGAGCATCAGGCCTCGGTCTTGGCCCAGCTGAGTGCGTTCACACGTTTGAGGAGACTTACTCAGTTTTCTCACTCTCAGACGTGAGCAAACTGCAGTGAAGAAGACACGAGGTAACACTCGTGAGGCACACCCTTCATAGTTTTCTCGCCCAGCTCAGCAGACATACACCTGTGACAGCTCTCCAAGACCCCGCTGTTAAAGGGACTGGGGTGGGCTGGTGGTGGTGGTCTAGTCGCTCAGTCGTGTCCGACTCTTGTGATCCCGTGGACTGTAGCCTGTCAGGCTCCTCTGTCCATGGGGGTCTCCAGGCAAGGATGCTGGAGTGGGTGCCGCTAAGGGAGAGGCTTGTCGATAGAGGGAGAGTTTGGCTTAATGGGGCTCCCCCGCCCTGGCTGGCCCCTTGCTCTAGGCTCGCCCCTGCCAATATGCAAAATATAAACGTCTCCATGTCCTTCCCATTACCCGCGATGAAATCAACATCCTCCAGCCCCATAACTGTTCAGGAACGCCGTCTATTAAGGCCACCTGACCCCATCCACGTAACGCAGCCTGGTGCAGTAGTGTTTTACTCAAGGAATTGGTTTCTACACCAACACCTCCCTCTCGACTGAACCAGCCATCTGTCTCCAATGTTGCTCAAGGAGGGCCCAGGTTACCTTCCCCACAGGGAAGTTCTTCTGCTCTAGTCAGCGATCATTCACACAGCCTCTGGCTTCTTCCCTTTAGGCAAAGCTGGTATGATTTTTTTTTTCCCGTTTAAAGATTATTTTGACAGTCATTCTAACAGGGACGGGTCCACTTCCCCGTCAGCTCGCCACAGTTATGGAATTGCCAAGGTGATGTCCACTCACCTTCTAGCCACGGCCACCTGCGGGCAAAAGTTCACCCCGTGTGGTTCGCCCCGGGCTCTGCATCTCCTCCGAGAACACACCCTGGCCCTCGGCTTCGATGGTGATCTCCGAGAACACACCCTGGCCCTCGGCTTCGATGGTGATCTCCAAGAACACACCCGGGCGCTCGGCTTCGATGGTGATCTCCGAGAACACACCCTGGCCCACAGCTTCGATGGTGATCTCCGAGAACACACCCTGGCCCTTGGCTTCGATGGTGATCTCTGAGAACACACCCTGGCCTTGGGCTTCGATGGTGATCAGTTACCGACAAGCTGCCCCGTGGCGCCCGTGCGCCAGAGAGGGTGCTGACGCTTTCCGTGGGTCACCTTGCTGACAGACAGCACGCTCCCAGGACACGGCCACCTTTTCTGCTCCCACGGTGTCCATGGGGACACTGTGACTGACAGACCTTAGCTGATGAGCTCAAGGTCAACGAGCCAGTGAGCAGCAGGGCCAAGGTCAAACACAATGCCAGGCTGTGCTCTTGACCCCCGTGCTTTAAGGCCTCCATTGAAAACAGGGGTTTCACAGGAAGCAGCTCAGCTCCTCAGTGCTGTTTCCAGAAGCAGTCTGCTCAGCCCAGTTAATAACCGTGTAAATAAGACCAAAGCTAACATGTATCCCTGTGGTGCCGTCCATGACATTTCCTTTTCAAGTGACTCATTTAGCTTTTCGATTAATTATCTCAACTTACAAGCACT